GTGTATTCCCATCTGTAAACCACCTGCAATGCTCGATCAAATGGCGAACGAGATCAGGCTCCTATCCGGGAGCGGGCACCCGGAGCTCAGTGCTCTGATGGCGAGCCGGTACGTTTCTGGGACTGCTGACGGGGGGAGGTGGCTGCTGCAAGAGAGTTCTCCGGACGCGAACCCAAGAGTGACGGCATCAAGGCAGGGTGCGCGGGAACGGAAAACAATGGAGCTAACGCCCACTGCAGACTCGGAATCGAAGTCGCCAACACAACGAGCCTGCAATATTCGAACCAGGAGACAAGGGTCATCATCGGCGAGTCGGTTCGCGACGAGGATGTCTTCATTCTCCAGTCGACAGCCCCCGGCGAGGTCAACGACGGCCTCATGGAGCTGTTCATCATGATCAGCGCCTGCCGCAGCGCCTCGGCGCGCCGCATCACCATCATCCTCCCCAACTTCCCCTACGGCCGCCAGGACAAGAAGGACAAGTCTCGCGCCCCGATCAGCGCCAAGCTTATGGCAAAGATGCTCGAGGTGTCCGGCTGCGTAAGCTCCCACGCCTAGCTCCCCAAATTCCCCTTCTTCCTGAAGGAGCTTCCAGTGCCAGTCGTCTCTGACATGCTCGTCTTCCAGAACCACGTCATTACGATGGACCTGCACGCCTCCCAGATCCAGGGCTTCTTCAACGTCCCCGTTGACAACCTCTACGCCGAACCGTCCATCCTCCACTGGATCCGCAAGAACCTCGACGTCGAGAACACCGTCATTGTCTCCCCCGACGCCGGCGGCGCCAAGCGCGCCACCTCGATCGCCGATCGCCTGAACACGGCCTTTGCGCTCATCCACAAGGAGAGGCCGCGCCCCAACGTTGTTGGCCGCATGGTGCTCGTCGGTGACGTCCAGGACAAGGTCGCCATCATTGTCGATGACATGGCCGACACGTGCGGAACTGTACGCTACGCGCCCCCTCTGCAACCCCTGCGCTGTCCTTTTCGTCTGGGCCCATACTCAGTCTGCTAACTAACACACACGCAGCTCGCGAAAGCCGCCGCTACCCTCAACGAGCACGGCGCTCGCCAGGTCTTCGCCATTGTCACGCACGGCATCCTCAGCGGTAACGCCATTGAGACGATCAACCAGTCCTGCCTCTCTGGCGTTGTTGTGACGAATAGTGAGTTTCTCCCTCTGCAGTATCCACAGAACCGCATTGCTGACAAGCCTCCACAGCTGTGCCCCGTAAGTTATCTGACCAGTCCGCTCCCCGAGCAGCAATCCTAAAAACTTGGCCATTGTACCACCCCGAAATATAAAACTAACCCGCGAATCCCAGTCGGTGACAAGGTCGAGCGATGCCCCAAGCTCAAGGTCATTGACGTGTCGGCAACGTTGGCCGAGGTACGCCCCCCCCCCCCTTGTCCGGCAGGTCGACGTACCACGCATACTGATATTCCATGTAGGCCATCCGCAGAACCCACAATGGCGAGTCCGTCTCGTATCTCTTCACCAACGCTCCCCTGTAAAGTTGGCGCTGCGTGAGCTTTGCTGGTTACGAATTCATATTTCGCGGAGTTGATGGTTGCACTTTTCCCCCTACCCGGCCCTTACTCCCCGCGATAAATTTCAAAATTACGGTAGCGATACAATAGTCTTCGGCGGGTTCTTGCTTGTGTATTGATGAATGATAGACTCTCTAGACGCTTACGTGGAAATTCTGTGAAAGGACTGTTGCTATGGTGACTGTCAATGCGTGCGTGCTTCGTGTGCATCGGCATGAGCAGGAAAGACCTAAAGGCTCAGCTTGAGCAGAGAACCGGTATATGGAAGCCGACCATCTAATCAGAGCCGCATGTGGGATCGCTATCAAGCTATCGTTCCCATGTTGTCGTCGTGAGCCGCCGGATGACCTCATTTGAGATTATCTGAAGACCATCAATCAGAGCACAATGCTCGGCTCTGTCTGGGGATGTTGTGCCACAGGCTGATACCGCGATACTCTTGGCTCCACGAGGCTGCATATGTTACAGGTAAGCACACGCCAACCCACAGCTCGAAGCGCGAACCAAGGCGTCAGCGCCTCGACTGCGTAATCGAGTCCAGATTCCATTCTCAACCACAGTCAACCACAGCAAGGTCTAGCAGCAGGAGCGTCATCTCTCTTCTAGCTCGAAAGCTTCATGTTCCTGTCCGTTGAGTCATTCAATGTGCAGCACAAAATTCCCACAGTCGCATCTCGATACTTTTTGCATTCGCTTCAGCACCGACTCATGCGGTGGACCAGCGCCTGCACAACACCAATCTCGAGCGCGACGAGATGGTGCAGAACCAGGAGAGGGCCGCCAATCCGCTTGACGAGGCAACGACTGATCTCGAAGCACGACATCATGGGATAGATCAGCCCGCTGCCAGCTTGACATTCATCACAGGCTCCGCGAAGGATTCCCTGCGCCAGTTATGCACATGGCCCAAACGGGACGAGGGCGCAGCACGCTGCCACGCATGGTCCTCTCCTGTCTCGCGCCTTCAGCTGGAGTGCCGTGGCCCCTGGCCGTACCATCACGGCCTACCATGCGGGTGTCGTGTGGGCTGATCACAGGTTGTAAAGGCTCTCCGCTTGCCGATTGATCCCACGCGGATGATCAATGAATCTGTAGACCTTGCTAGGCCATTTCATCAATGTTATGACAAGTAGCAGCAAGACCAGCATCATTACCTGGGCTTTTTTAAACCCCCTTCTGCTTGGAGATGCTGCAGGTGAGTACTGACAAGGACAAACGGATGACTTGTCATGCAGTTTCGTCTGATGACCGGTGAGCACCGAAGTTGCCTTAGCTCGTCTCCGAATGGAACACCAACTTCGATGTCTGGCGTCAGGTATGGGTTGACATTGTCTCAACAGCTTTTATCTGAGCTCTCCCGCTGGTAGTCTTTTGGCACAGCACCGGCTGTCGGCGTCATGTTGTGGCTTGGATGGCTGTGTCCATCCAAGGTGGAGTGAGAAACAGTGTTGGATTATTCCAGTCTCGCATCGAAAGGGCGGAACACGATGAAAAATTCGGCCCTCACCACCAGATAATAATGTCGTCATGGGTTTGTTTGGTCCATCGATCTTGCCTGAGACATACTTTCCCAAGAAATCCGTTGAGAGCCCCGCGGGCAACGCCGTGATGATTGCACCGCAACAACCCAAAACCGACGAGGAATTATCGTCCAAATCGTACGTTGTTGTGAGACACGGGAGCAAGCCACAAGCTTTCTTGCCTCAGTTACATGTTGAGACAAGAGCGAGTACGATAACTATCAATTTGTTATCAGGCTGTTATCGAAGACATTAAAGCCCCCTGTAGCTTTGTCTTGGAACGCCAGGTCGTGATGGCATTGGTTTGCACAGCATTGTCCTCCTTGTCGACGTGACTGGCATTCACATAGAGGAGGAGAACTGATGTGCTAGCTCAGTGTGCAATTGTGTGGTCTATGAGGAGCGATCAGAGCGCCCGAGTCTGGTCTGGCGTCTGGTCTGGCTGGTCGCCAAACTAAGCGTACGCCCGTAGATGGACTTTTAAAGAACGGACAACACGTGAGCAGAATATTTGTGTGACCAGCGTAAAGAGGGCACCGCTGGTGGTCAGATATAACGTTGAGGGTTTGGGAGGGCGTGGTGGATCTCAGGCGCATTTGTTGGCGAGACCTTTGAATGCCACGCGCGTTGGAAGAGCGCCATGCGAACCACATCCTTGTGTATGTATTTTCTTGCCGAGCCGTTCCATGTCGCCGGATCTACTCCCGGCGTGCCTAAGGCCCTGCGCTGATATCCAGCAGTGGCCTGTTCCAATCGATGGGCATGGGCGCTCGTATGTCCCAATGCACCTTGGGTGTCAATGGCTGTTGGGTGCTCGGCATTTCTGTTCCATATGCAAACCACGGCTGGCGTGCTGCACAGTCAAAACCACGGAGGAAATCAACAGGCGACAGGCATGTTGCAGACCCGAAGATGCCATTAAGTCACCAAGGTTAGGATGTAGACAGCGTAAGAACGCCGGAATGCCTTGCTGGATGCTGGCAACAGGTCTCGCCGGTGCAAGTCGCCTGCAGGCCATATTGGCTGGGTTGAAGGCTTCGAAAACCTGTAGCTTCTGTCCGCTAAATTACCGCCCCTAAAACGATTGCTAGGATTCTAGAAGCACAATCCCATGTGGCTGCAGAGCTTGCATGCTTCCAGCAGCTTTGGGCACTGTTGCGGCTGGCCTAATGTTCTGGCCCGGTCCATCGGTGAAGCCAATTGGTCAGGTGCAAGGAAGCGGCGAGGCTTCGCGAAGCGTGAAGCACGAAGCTCTGATGCGTCGCCCCTCTACATCCGTCCATCGTGAGATGCTCACTGGGTGGCCCCGCCAGTGCCCCTACGTCTATAAATCGTAAAAGTGGCTACCAGACTGCATGTGGAAGCTAAATCCTAGTCATTAGCGTTGCATCAAAAGGTCATGGGACCTGAGGCAGTTTGCTGTGTCTAGGCAAGGGCGAGCGAATCCGGGACTTCGTTTGACGGCATTACCAAAACAGTGATTTCACAGGTGATTTTTTTTCTCCAGGTGTGCGTTGAGTAGACCCCTGTGTCGTCCCTGGCCCGAATACATGTAATGTAGTTTGGCCATTGTGTGAAGTTTCCCATTGGACCATCCGACCCCTGACGCATATCATTCCGTCGTTGGTTCGTTTGGAAGAAGTGAATTCGAAGGAGACTTTTCGCCAATGTTGAGCGACGTGCAGAGAATTTCCCTTGGGAACCCCCGCCGTGGAACCCAGAAAACTGATGTTCAAACGCCACATGGGATCTAGAAGGCAGCCTTGAAATCATCTTGTAGCGGGACCGATCTCTCGCTTATGTGCTGCGTCTCGAACCGTCCGTCCCTGCTCATCTTCGGCTTTGGGAGAGGGAATGATCTTGCGTCAGTACTTGGGTGGAAGACCCACCGGGCGCTCCCCGAGCTGGTTCGCTTCAGTCGGTCAGTTCAGGCACTTGGGCTCCAGTCCCAGCAATGGAGAATAATTGACCACAATTTGGTCCTCGAAGTTTGCCAAGCTGCGAGGCCCCGCCTCGCTGACAGCATTTCCTCCACAGGTGCGTGGCACGGGACATGAAGAGGAGGGCAACGTCGTCATGAGGAAGGGGGGAGGGGGGCAAGGGAGAGGGGCATCCCAGGATTTCGGCTCAACAAGACCGGGCTTGAAGTGCACATCAGCGACAACCATTGCACCAGTGGTGGTGTGGGTGTTTGGTGTGGCAAGCTGCAATGGCACACCTTCGGGAGAGGACAATTCGATCTTTTTATCTCACACACAAACAACGGGAGGCAGCCCGGCAGACAAGGGTAGGCTAAGCAGTTGGGTGTCGACCATTCGGACACTTTGTCGTGAAGCCTTTAGTGGTGTCAAGCTCTGCGTGCGTGCTCACTGTCTCTCCCTCTTCAAGCTTTTGCTGGATTTGAAGCCTCTAGCGTGGAGTTCCGAATTGAGGCTGCTTGCTGAACGGTGCATGGTCCGAGCTGGCCAGGCCAGGGCTACTGGAAGTATGATGGTCACATCAAAGTTCGCGGGCGATCCGCCCTTGTCCATGCAAACAAGCGACGACCCCATCTGTGATGGCCCGGGACCCATTGGCAGCGTGGGCATTATTCAGATAGAAACAAGAGACCGAGTCGCGGGCGTGACACCGCAGTTTGGCGAGTGACGAACATTGCGGTTCCGGATTGCCGTGGTCTTGGACAGAAAAAGCACTGGAACACATAATAGAACCGCAGCCAGTTAAGCATCTGAGATTGAGCTTGGGACAGGACCCTGGGGAAGCTTTGGCTCGAGCCAGCACTTGATTGACGACAGCCGCTTCGTGTGGTCAGAAAGAAATAGTGAGGAGCGTGTCTCGGTGAGTGGACCATCCTCTGGAATCGCGAGGGGAAACAACCCCCAAGATGGTGATGGCACACCATCGACCGTTGTTGACCGAGGTGACCTTCTTGTCAAGCGTCAGGTGGTAAGGTGACGAGGGCGGAGGTGTTGGTGTTGGTGGTGGTGGTGGTGGTGATGATGACTGATGTGATCGCCACGGGATGCTGAAAAAGGCCGCTGGCAGGGGCTCCTGGTCGTGTGGTCAATGGTCACTGCCCAGAACGGAATTTACACGATCCATGCCAGGGCCCCCGTCGATGGGGTGTGGGCTTGGCGTCAAGTGGTCTGCACCTGCCCTGCACCTGCTGCCGCCGCTTGGTGCTGTAGAAGCTTGGGCCACCCCATGCTGTAGACCTCCTTTTCAGTTGTTGGGTTGTGCTCACTAAAGTACCTACCTCCTCTGTGGTCGTCTGGGCAGTAGCTGGCGTTGCTGGCGCCGCCGGCGACGTTGGTGCGGTGCTAGCAATAGCGGGTCGCCTTTGACTTCCGCCTGCCGAGCTCTAGTGCGTGAGCTGCCCGTCTCAAGAGTGAGCACATGAGCAGCCCACAGCTGCGGGTCCCTGCAAGAACACCCAAATCAGAGTCGCCTTCGCTGAACAGCTGTTTACTAGTTGAAGCTTTGATTCATGCATTGGCTGCCCATGCCGCAAATTCCATGACATTTGAGCATGTCTTGCCTCATCGAGTCGCTTCATTGCTTGGATCCTTCAAGGCTTGTTCGAGATATCCACAGCGGTGTGTTGGCCTTCCGATTTGGAAACACCTAGGTACGGACAGCAGCTACGTGTGTTGCCGTCACATCTCACCCAAGACGAGGAAGCTTGGAATCTGGAAGCCACCACCGGCCTTGTGGGGCTCCGCCATCGCACATCACCCATCACACCTCACCACATTTCACGCCTCCATCGTACCTCCCCGTTCGTTCGGCTCGAGCATGTCTTTGGCTCCTAGTTGTACGACCCCCGGCCATCGATTATCTGTCACCGGCAGTCTGGGCCTGGGACTGGATCTAAGCCTGCCCTGAGAGCCAGGCCCCGGCTCCGGCCCCGAGCCCCGGCCCTTGGTGCTTGACCTTGACCCTGACTTTGACTTGCCGCCTGCCTCCGCTTGTTGGTAGGTACCCAAAAGGCCGTGTCGATCAGTCCTTTGTTTGCTGGAAACCTCAGGAGGTACCCGAGTACCTCCCTGGCTGGCTCATCAATTTACCTCGCGTGCTATTCGCTCGTCTCTGATCTTGGCCCTGTCTCTTCTCTCTTTCTCTCTCTCTCTCTCTCACACACACACACTCTGTGTGCATGTGTGTCAAAACTTGGACATCATTGGGCTCATCAGCCGAGCGACCTTTTGTGGAAGCCTGAGCTCAAGTACCGACCGAGCAAATATCGAGCTTCCTTCACCGGAAGAGAAACAAAAAAAGATGCGTGCGAAAAAAATCTCTGGGTTCTTGTCGAAGAGTCCCTTTACTCTGTTGCCGGACTGGTCTCGGCCTCTCTGTCAGCTGGTATAAGTACGCAACACAATGGCTGACCCGTACATGTCCGCATCTCGGGCCCAAAAATACGCGCCCCAGTTTCCACATTTCGGGTGTCCACCTCAATTTCAAACCTCCGCTTGTTCACCTGACCCTGACCAGGGCCGTATCCCCCCGGGAAACCCCACACACCTTGAATTACATCCATTAACCCTCGGGGACACCCCCTCCCTTCTCCTATCGGCCACCCCTCCTCGGCCCCCTTTTCCGGGTGCCCGCCTCTCTTAACA